TTGACATCTTGTAACAGCAAAACCCTCCTCCACTGACATCCCTGTCTTTTTACAGTACTGTGCAAAAGTCAGACTTCTTTTTTTTTTTTTTTCATATTTTACCTCTAACGAGTCAGCCGTTCTTGTAATTTTTTAAAGTACGTTTGATCAATAGTTCTTTAGACTTTATAATAAAGTCTTTATAACGTTTTCTTCAGACAGTGGTCGTTCTGTTTTTACTCAGCTATCAGCTAAAACATTTAGTTTATTAGCACAGTGTGTAAATCCATCCTTCCATTTTTTACCTGCTTGTCCATGCAGAGTCATGGGGAGCTGTAATCTATTTGCAGCAGTCACTGTGTGAGAGACGGGGGACACCTGAACAGGTCACAAGTCCAACACTTAGAGACAAACAACCATTCACTCTCTGACTCATCATCTAGAGACAGTTTAGTATATCCATTTAGCCTAACATGCATGTTTTTGGTCTGTGGGAGGAAACCGGAGTACCAGGAGTAAATTCATGCACGGACAGAACATGTCTGTTAATAAACTGTGGAAACAGACAAAATTGGATCATCTTTAAACAAAATATCTACTGCATATTAACAATATCCAAAAGGCATATCTATGAAAAACAAGAAGAAAAAAACCCCAGCAAAGTCTTTACATGACCTGAGAGATTCACCATCTATTTTGTCCAGTAAGGTGGGAGTCACCTCTAGTATCTCTACTATTTCATATCTGGTCTTTACCTAAAATAGTTTCATAAATCAGAGCTGTTTGTATGACATAAAACATCTCACAGCAGTAGACGGTTGTTTTTCCTCAAAAGATGCATTGTAAAGCCTATAAAAACGATTTTATTTGTTAGTCAATGGGGGTGGGGAGGTGTTCTGATCACATTCAGTAGATTTACATATAAATACAGGTAATAACAGTAATTCATTGTGATTCCATCACTGCACAATTACAGTAAATTTACTGATGTTCTCACACAAAAATGCCTTGAATGAAACTCAACAGAAAATCTGCAAATTTGAGTCTAGATAAAAATGTATCTTTGTGCTGAAGTTCAGCGTAAAGCGGTGGATCATTGGGGTATTTTCTAAGAATTATTCTAATCTTTGGAAATAATGTTATCCAATATCCTTTAAAAAACTTAATTGTGGGCCATGGTGGTTGGTTGTAGGAGTTGCTGCATTGTCATTTTTCTATTTGTGAATTAGTTACGTGTGCAAAGACACAACAGATTACTGGTTATTTTAAAAGTGGCAAATATCAGCTGGTTAAGTCTTTCAGCATATTCTTCCTTTGACCTCTGGACTTATTGAACAGATTTTTACATCACATCTCTGTCTACTAGTGACTTTAAGTAGTGACAGAGTTGTTGCAAGTGTCTTAGACTATTCCTAATTTATTTTTTGTAAATTCTAGAGCTTGAGACCTGCATTTTGACACCTGCACAGGAGCTTTTCTGATATAAAACATCCAAGAATACAGTCCTGAATGTCCACCTCTAAAAAAGACGTTAATGATTTTTTAAAAAAATAGTTAAAACGTTGGTCTAAATCTACCTATCTTCGTCTCAAAAGTGTACTCCAGCATGACCAGCAGATTAAAATATAAACTGAGGTTAGCTGCCAAGGTGGGTACCAGTGGTGGGCACGGTTCTGCTAATCTGCTAATAGCGGAACTAAATTTCTGTTTAACAGAGTAGCGTTTTTCTTAACTTTGAACAACTTTGGCAGAATTAATTCAATTCAATTCAGTTTATTTATATAGCGCCAAATCACAACAAAGTTGTCTCAGGGCACTTTACAGGAACATTCACATAAATAAAAGCCAATTAATAAAGTTCTCTATCTTAGGAATCCGGCAGACAAGTTGAATCTTGGCTTCGTTGCAGTCTCCAATTAGCTTTGGCTAAATTTAAACCTGTAAATTAAAGCCCGTTATTTATTTTTAAAACAGTTCTCCACATTAAGAGCATAAAGGAGAATGGTGATTTACACAGAACAGTGCTATGCTATGCAAAGCTAATTGCCATCTGGTGACATCACCACCCTCTCAGTGCTTTTCCCTCCTCATATTTACCGCAAACAGTCTCTGACTCATGATGTCAGTTTACAGCCAATAACAGAACAGAAATGAAAACAAACCAGAAGAGGAAAATAACATGAAAACCTATTTTCACACTCAGAAACATTTCACGCATAATTCCTACCCAGCATGCTTTGCAACACTCACACTGTCTCTGGGACATGACTCTCTCACACATTTCACACATCTTTACTTAATACAGACAGATTTATTATCAAGAGAATATTGATGATGATGCACAGCAACTTTATAGTTAGTTTATAAAAGTAGTTAACCACAAAATCGCCAAAGTGATTTAATCCGTAAATGACACGAGGGAGACGTCCGACACACATTGAATGCATGACTTTGCTTCAGCACAGCAGAGTTCTGCTCTGCCTCTTTGGTTCTGATGAACCAGATTAATTTCTGAAAGCTCACCTCTGAACAGGACATAGATGCTTTACCTGTAATTTATGAACCATTTTGAGTTGCGTTCACTTACAAAGTTGTCACATCACAGACATTCTTACAATGTCAGCGACAGCAGTGAATTATAAAAGTTAGCGCTTTGGCATTAGCTTCCGCAATTTTTTTAAATCTGTTTAGCAGTTTAGCATTAGCAAAGCCAATTTTTTTTAGTTAACAAATTAGCGATTAATAAAGTTAACTTTTAAATTAGCTGTGCCCACCATTAGTGGGTCCAAAGTGGGCCTAGGTGGGTACCATGTGGGCAGAGGTGAGCAACAAAATAACGTGCGTAGAAAACAGCTTTGCAAGCTGTGCTAACAGAAAACGCCATGAATTTTCTTCCCCATCGCGGAGCAGAGGGGCAGCTGAAAATATCCCCCAATCATCCATCTGTGCTGTTGTGAGCTGGATAACTTGATAAAAAGAGAGATACAGTCTTCCATGTTGGTGTGTGGCTGCATCTGTGCGTAAGAAAAGTTCATATCAAAAATTTGGTTGCCGTGTCAAAATCCAAGATGGTCATCGCCATATATACCGGTATATACAGTAGTCCCTCGTTTATCGCAGGGGATCCATACCCTGAAGTCCCGCGATAATTGAAAAACCGCCAAGTAGGGATACAGTAGTTTAAGTTCAAGTTCAAGTACAGTAAACTTTATATCAAGGCTTTAGAAACTCTTCCCACACTCTTGGAATGTTCTAAACTCTTAAACCTACAACATTTTAACAACATAAGTTACTAAATTTTACTTACTAGCTCTGCAGAACAGCAACAGCTCTGGTTTCGGTCCAACTCTGTTTTATTCCAACTCAGTTTCTTTCTGCAGACCTGTCCCATAGCAATGAAGCCCACAATCAGTCGTTTAAGCTCTTAAACCTACTAATTTTAACAACATACAGTACTTATATGTAAATTAGCTACAACATTTTACTTACCAGGCTGTGCAGTACAGGAGCAGCTCGACTCCGGTCTGACCCGATAGATGCAAAAAGTCCCGGTACAGCATGACTGAAGTCCACCACTCCATCCAGCTTGATGTGCACATGCTGCTGCTCCAGGAGCAAGGTTGCCCTGGATTTAATCCATCACCCCTGGCCTGGTCCGGATCAGCACCATGCGACCAGAACCTGACAGAACCCTGCAGCCATCTGTCATCTGCAGCTCCCAGGATTCGGGTCACACTGACTGATTATGGATCAACTGCAGCCCAGCTACTCAGCAAAGATGCAACTTGAAGAATGAGTTCATCTTCAGAATTATTTGCAACTTTCCTGACAGTCCTGTGAGCACCAGAACTTACAGAACTTCTGACTTTGCTGCAAAACTTAACCTCCCTTTGCAGAAAGCAGCAGTTGGAAGAACAGTGTTGACTTCTGGGAAGCGAACTGATGGGTTCTGGGTAACGTAGTTCTTTAGACTGGCAAAACAGTGAATTTTAATGAAAGAAAACTACAAAATGGCGGCACTTTTTTTTTTGCGGGGGGTGAAAATATTATGTACATGTACAGTACTTAAACTGCAATAGAGTGAGTCAGCGAAAAACGAACCGCGAAGTAGCGAGGGACTACTGTATACCAGTAAATGTAAACTGGCCACCATTTGAGGAATCAGAGGAAACTATGCTTTCTAGTTTTTGTATTGCTTAAAAATGTAGTTTCCTCAAATAATTGGAGTGACCAAAGAATAATTTACAGTGGCCAAAACTACCATTGGCCCTCCCCTGACTACGCCATTGTGCCAAATTGCTCCTTCCACTTGCCAGGATCTGTCGCTTTGCACTGCCAAGCCGAGACAAGCAAAAGGAAAAACTACCTCTTGAATATCTTGAAACAAAAACGTTAAGGTTTACTTGCATTCCCTGTTCAACTCCAGTTCAGAGAAACATCTCGAAAACTAACAGCTAAACACAATCTGCTGGCTTCCTTAGATAGAGAACTTTACTAATTGGCTTTGAATGTGAATGTTCAGTGCCCTGAGACAAATTCTGATGTGACTTGGCACTATATAAATAAACTAAATTGAATTAAATTAAAAACATTTACTATTCAAATCCCTCAGCGATGGGGGACATTGATGTACTGCTTGTCAAATATTGGATGCTCATTCCATTTAGTTAAAAACACCCATAGTTTAGTGAGACTGCAACAAAATTTTAGCTTATTGCAACTGTCTTGAAAATTTTAGTCACCAACTACCGGTAGTTTTCAACACTTGCAGTCCAGTGAGACTTACCTTAAAGAGGTTTAACTTTAAAAAGTTGTCACTTGTTACTAGCAGAAGGGTTCTCATAGCACCCAGTAATGCAGTGGAGGGGGTGGGGCTTGCCTTGATCACCTGACTAATGTACGCGCGCTGCTGCTGATGTCGCTGTTCTTGTGTTTTGTCAGTGGTAACCTGTAGCAACCAGCCCTCTGATCCCACTTCACCTTCATTGCTGTTCCTTCCTGTATCCCATGATGCTTTTCAGGAGCTGCGGGAGATCCACAGCCGGCAACAGAGACAGAAACAGAAGCAGCTGGAGGGCGACATGCACACACAGACACATGCACTCTCTCACATGCAAACGTTGACTGAGAGGAAGTCCGCCGAGCTGCAGGAGAGCGGGTAAGGATGAAACAAACAGATGACAGGAACTGATCTGTCAGGGTGCAGCAAGTAGATTGTTTATCAGAACTGTGTTGTTGTTTGTTTTGACCTGCAGGTTGTTGTCAAATGAACCAGGAGCATCCGTGGCTAAAGCCCCCAGTCCCGCCTACATTTCTGCATCCCATGCCTGGCTGAACAGAGTGACCCAGGAAGAGGAGGAGAGGAAGAGAAGAGGGATGGAGGAGGAGGAGGAGGGAAGAACGGGAGCTAGGTCTATAGAAGAGAAGGAGGATAAGAGCAAAGGCAAGAAGGACATGCAGGATAAACTGAACAAGTTGTTCAGTCAGCCAACTGACCCCTGGGCTTCAGCAGGTGGGTTACATAAAAAAAACTGACCAGAGACTCTTAGATGTTTGTTTGGAGTCTGGTTGAACTGATTACATCTCCAGCAGCCAGTTAAATCGATGTGCTTTATTGATTTACTGTACAGTGCCTTCAGATCTGAAGCTCCTGGCACAGGCAAGACACTTCAAACCACTTAGAAATATTAATGCTTTTAGATATACTTCGATCAACCACTTCTGAATAATCTGTGCAGCTGTGTTCAGAGGAACATCAAGCTGCATGGCTGCTTTTTACCTTTGACATGGTGTCGATCATTGTATTCCTAAGCTCCTGAGATAACTGTGTCTTCAGCGTCATGTGGTCCATGTTCAGTGTGACTCACATACTGCGAGTGGTGATGCAGAAGTTAGAGAAGGTGGGCGTGTGATCAGAAGTTCGCCGGTTCAACTCGCGGTACCGACAACATCAAAATGTGGGTGGGATGGGTGAAGTACCACACCTGCCTCCACCCTCATTTGCCCCACTCTAGGCCCTTGAGCAAGGCCCTGAACCCCACCATCTGCTCCCCCGGATGCCCTAGATGGCAGCTCTCTGCTCCCCACAGAGGGTTGTGGTAGCTCGGTGGTCTGTGGTTACGTCAGGAAGGGTACTGGTGTCAAATTAAATAAATAATTGCCAGGTCTTCGTGTGACTGAGTTCAATGTGGCAACCCCTGATGAAGGGAGCAGCCGAAAGAAAGAAAAAAGTTCTGTGTGTTTCACACCATGATACCAAACAGCCCTATGGCTACCTGTCACCATTTAAACAGGCAGGCTGACTGATTACAGACTCAAGACACCTGAGATGCACAGAGATCACAGCAACAGCTCTCGGTTACGGTCTGACTCGGTTCCGTTTCTGCAGACCTACCCTGCAGCAACAAAGCCCAGATCAATGTTGTCAACTCTTAAGCCTACTAATTTTAACAACATACAAACATGTAGCTACTAAATTTTACTTACAAGCGCGTCCCTGCTTGGAGGTCCTCGTGGGCGAGGACTCATCAGATGCATCATACTGATGCATACTCATCAGTATGCATCAGTATGCATACCGTGAGAACCGATCAACAGAGGATGCCATCTCCTCTGTGGTCCACACTGCGCTCAACCACCTGGAGCAGAAAAACTCTTACGTCCGTTTGCTCTTTGTGGACTTCACATCCGCCTTCAACACCATGATCCCCCAAACCCTGATGGACAAACTGTCCACACTAGGACTAAGCCCCTCCATCTGCAACTGGGTACTAGACTTTTTAACAAACAGACCACAGTTAGTGAGGATCCACAACCTCTCCTCCTCCACCATAACCCTCAGCACTGGCTCTCCTCAGGGATGTGTGTTGAGCCCCCTCCTGTTTACTCTGCTCACATATGATTGTGCAGCTACCCATCCAGGCTGTCACATTGTAAAGTTTGCAGATGATACAGCGGTGGTGGGATGCATCACAAACAATGATGAGTCCAGCTACAGGCAAGAGGTGGAACACCTGGAGAGCTGGTGCAGAGAGAATAACCTTCACATCAATGTGAAGAAGACAAAGGAGATGATTGTGGACTTCAGAAGGAACAAAAACACCTACACCCCCCCTGAACATAAGAGGATCTGCGGTGGAAGTGGTCTCCAGCTACAAGTACTTGGGTGTACACATGAATGACAACCTCAGCTGGAGCAACAACACCACCAGCCTGATCAAGAAAGCTCATCAGAGACTCTACTTCCTCAGACGGCTGAGGCAAGCTGGTCTGGGAAGCTCAGTCCTCACCTCCTTCTACAGGTGTGCAGTGGAGAGCATCCTGTGCTCGAGCATCAATGTGTGGCATGGAGGCTGCACAGCTGCAGAAAGAAAAGCTTTGCAGAGAGTGGTGAAGGCTGCACAGAAGTCTGTCAGAATCAGCCTCCCCACCATCACAGACATCTACACCTCCTGATGCAGGAAGAGGGCCACCTGCATCATGAAGGACCCCACTCACCCAGCACACACACTTTTTGCCCCACTCCCCTCAGGAAGGAGGTTAAGGAGCATTAAGTGTAGAACCACTAGACTGAGAAACAGCTTCTACCCTGAGGCTGTTAGACTCATGAATCTCTAACTAGAATAATCACTGTGAAAAACCACATCATGTTGCTGCTGATCTGTTTCATGTTGCTGCTGATCTGTTTCAATGTTGATGTGTTCATGCGTGCACATCTGCTCACACAGACTCATGTTCATGTTTGTGCTGATGTTCAATGTTTTATGTTATGAGTGCTTAGTGTATATTTAGTTGATGTTTTTCTTAGTTCATATCTTAGATGTTATTACTGTTTTTCTTATACATTTTATTGTTGGATGTAACTGGGACCCCGTGTACATAATTTCGCTCCACCACATGTACCACATGAGGTGCGAATGACAATAAAGAAACTCTGACTCTGACTCTGAGGAACTCTCAGGTTCACCGCTGAGTCTGGTCAGACCTTGGGTTGACTGGCATAGGACCGTAGGTGTCGATTGAGTCCAAGTCTGGATGAAAAAAGTTACGATGGGCTACATAAACAGTTCCGGACCTTCGGTGTGAATCCCCGCTCGGAGGTCCACGTAGACAGGCTACCACTTCTCAAGATTCACTGATGGACCTGGAGGTCTGGTCCTGCTCCAGTTCTGCTCCAGTTCGGTGGATTCAGTGTAGCTTCTCTGCATCTGCTGGGCTCTGATCAGATTAAAACTTTACCTCTAGTTTTTCAGCAGAAGGAAACGGATCTTCAGGGTGGGGCCCTGTTGCCTTCTGGGAAATGTGGTTGTTATGAGTGGAAATGCAGTGTAGGCTTACTGAGAGAAAACTACAAAATGGCGGTGCCTGTCAAGTATTTTATTTTTTCGTTAAGTTTTTACTGTACAGTACTGCATCCAGTACTGTCCCAATCATGAGTAATATTAAAGTTGACAATCATGTGTCCTGTACGTTTTTTATTTTTTGTTCAATATTATGGTCTGTATGTTCACAAACCACGAAAGAGTGAGTCCGTGAAAGTCGAACTGTGAAAGTAACGAGGGAATACTGTATTCTGGAATAATCTCTGTACATATGTAAACGTTCTCTTGTTTCGTCCATAACTTCTAATCTGCTAAGGATAATTTAATTAAACGTCATACATACATTCATCATCACTAGACAGGAGTGTTGCATAACAAATCAAAGGTCTTTGCTTGTCTGGGCCATAACTTCTGCTCTGCTCAAGATAATTTAATGAAACTTAATACAGATTTGTACCGCCATAAAATAACTTGTCACATATTCTTTTCAATCTGTACTGCTGGATAAGTTTGTCGGCGGGGTATACTGTGCCGGATGCGGTACTCCTGTTTTTAAATTAATCTGTTGAACCAAAATTCAAAAGCAATGACTGATTTTCATTTGTTGATTTTATTTTGTCGTTACTTTTGTCCGTTTCAAGTTAAATCATTGATCATTGTTTTTTTTTCTTTAACAAAAGGGCACCAACAAACTTGTCTGCATGTGTATTTTGATTATTGCAACTCGAGTTTAAATTAGTGTTTTTGTTTTGTTTCTTTATTTTTAGTGGAGAAGGCTCCAGGCCCCAGTCTGTTTGACCAGAAAGCATCAACAAGTAGTTTCGATCAGCAGCAACAGCAGCCAGTAAAGGTGGTCTACTACAGGGCTCTGTATCCATTCGATGCTCGTAGTCACGATGAGATCAGCATCCAACCTGGAGATGTCATCATGGTGAGTAGAAAACATCCAAACTCCTCACCGTCTACGTCTGGGGTCGTGTTAATCCTCCTGATGTGTGTTTGTGTGTGAATGACTGTTTGTAATAACTGTTTCCTCTCTTCTCTGCTGTGCAAACTGAAGGTGAAGGGGGAGTGGGTAAGTTTTGTTCCCCCACCCCCCAGTGCTGTGTTGTGTTTCCACCAATCACGAGCCAACGCTTGCTGCCATATCATATCAACCTCATGTTTATTCATTTTTCAGTAAATGAATGTCAGTGGCTTCTTTTCCACAAAGTCATCACAGCTCTCGTGTTTTTGTTTTCGTAGTTTTTATAAAAAGTTGTGAGTACTCCAAACAAGCTCACAGCTTCGCAGTCAGACTTCATATTTATTATCAAAGCAACACTTACGACTGACAGTTTGTCCCCTTGGACTCCCGTCACAGTTGTAAGATTTAACAATCTGGTTTGGGAGAAACTGAAGTTTCTCAGTCTGGAAAATCTGTAATAAACATCAACGGGCCACAAAAACGAATCAGAAGCGCACAATTGTCCCCCGTCATAGAGCAAAGAGAGAGAATCGAAAATGCCCTCCTGTGAGCATAACAAAACAATAGAAGAGGTACAGATTTTCATTTTGGTATGGGACTGCATCTAGGCATAAGAAAGTTCCCTATCGAAAAATGTGTTGCCATGTTAAAATCCAATATGGCCGCCACCACACACACACACACACACACACACACACACACATATATATATATATATATATATATATATATATATATAAATATTTTTATATATAGAGCCACCCCCCCCCCCCCCCAAAAAAAAAACTGGACTTCTACGGTATTCTGAAAGAATCAATTTGTTACGTTTTTTTAAATGTCTTTGGATTGACCATGACCTGGATGACTGAGAATCGTTGCCACCGTTGAGGCCTGTAACTTCTGATCCACTCAAGATCATTTAACACTAATTGATACACATTCTGTACCACTACTAGACGGCGTGCCATATAATCTTTTTATCACCCTGGCTGTAAGATCAAGGTCTATGCTTGTCTGAGCCTTTGCTATAGATTGTTATGTTACAATCAAACTTAATGACTGTAGCAGATTTCCTCTGTTAAAGTGGTATATCATCTTGCTAACAACTTTTTTAAAATCTGTTTAGGGGGGAAAAAAGTCATTTTCCTGCTCATCATCGCTTCCTCCTGGCTTAAACATATGGTGTAATTTAAAGAGTGGATCTACTATCAGTAAACTTGAATTAAACCCTCCCCTTTGCTCTGATAGGTTGATGAGTCCCAAACAGGTGAACCCGGGTGGCTCGGTGGGGAGCTCAGAGGCAGGACCGGTTGGTTTCCAGCCAATTATGCAGAGAGGATACCTGACAGTGAAGCGCCAATCAGCCTACATTCCACATCCTCAGCCACGCCCCCTTCAGCCCAGCAGCCCATAGCCACGCCCCCTCCAGCTCCCGGACACAGCTCCGCTTCCACATCGTCTGCCAACAGTAACTGGGCTGACTTCAGCACAACGTAAGTTTGGCTGAAGTCCACTTTATCTGACTGGGAAGCATCAAAACATCATTTTGTACATCTGTTCATTTAAATCATTTAAAATGTCCAGTTGGCCCTCGAACACAACCAGCCAGTCTGACAGTGAGGGATGGGATGCATGGCCAACCTCCTCAGCCAATCAGAATCCATCTCTCAGTGTTCCTTCTGCCCAGCTACGGCAGCGCTCTGCATTCACGCCAGCTACCATGACCACAGGCTCCTCCCCCTCTCCTGTGCTGGGACAGGTAGGAAAACTTCAAGCTATTTCTCAAACTAAAATCATCTTTTCAGCTAATATTTAGGTTAATAATAAAAGTAATGCTCCCTGTAATCGTCTGTCTATCAGGGAGAAAAGGTTGAAGGCCTTCAGGCTCAGGCGCTGTATCCCTGGAGAGCTAAGAAGGAAAACCACCTCAACTTTAACAAAAATGAGGTGCAAATCAAACACACTGCAAAACTCTTTTTACTTTAATGTTCTTATGTGAAATGACTGCATATTTAATTGAGTGAATGTTTTTATGATTGCAGATCATAACAGTTCTGGAGCAGCAGGACATGTGGTGGTTGGGGGAACTTCAGAACGGACAGAGAGGCTGGTTCCCCAAAAGTTACGTCAAGCTCATCTCAGCCAACATGACAGTCCCTACAGGTGCCATAACACGCACCAAAAACACCAGGTAAGCTTCAAACATCACACCGCGCCACGAGTTTGTCACAACAGACCTCTAACATGGAAGTGAGACAACTCTTTTTCATGATCTGTTAGCGCAACTGTATGTGTTGGATTGTCAATTTCTGCAGCATTAAATTAATTATAGCCATTTTTTTGCTTTGGCTGTTGTAGCCTTCTTGAACTAGGTTGACAATTTTGAGTTAAGGAAGGTCATCATTGATCAGAATAAGTTTTATTATCATTGTACCAAAATACAGTGAGATTATGTTCGTACAGTCGTCCGAAAGATGGGCGGAGTGCACGTTGCTGCTTCTCTGAGAGCACAGCCCCTTATCTTATTTCAGAATACTTTTTAGAAAGAAAAGGGGAAAAGGCCATGAGGATAGGATAGCGGTATTACAAAATAGATCTCTTCACACCTTGTCTTTATCAGGATACGATTCAAGACATCGAAAAACTCTACCAGCAAGCACATTTATAGACACATTCCATATGCATTTGACGATAAGACAGTGAGATTTGTCCATGAAACACTTCCACATAGTCCATTGTCCTGATAAGATGTTGGTGTCAGCCGGTACAGCTCTGACAAGCCTTCACACAAGTTCTCGGGGGTGGGGGTTACAATAGACATAGCTTTTAAGTTATTTTACACATATCTCAAGAGAAATTTGGTAAGTCGGCCTGCTTCGAGGCCAAACAGGAGAGTCAGATTCACATGAGCCACAATTGTTGATTTTTTTCAGGCAAACTGTTTTTTTTTTCTTGTTGGCCTTGAGTCCTGCTGGTACTTTCGTTCCAAAATGTCCAGATTTATGGACATTCCACTGGTCCATGCTTATGAACCTCCTCCAAGGTCGTCCCCAACATGCTGGCGAGTCCCAGAAGCCGCAGGTGGCCTGCGATTCTAACAAATAAGATAAGATAAGATAGAACTTTATTGATCCTGCAGGAAATTATTGTGCCAGAGTTTCAGTACAAAGGAACATTCACAAGAATCACAAGATATAAAAATAACAGAATATAAAAATGCCAACAATTAAGTTCTAAATAAGTGCAGACTGGTCCATTTTATGGTTTAGCTCGTAAATCAGCTGATTTTTAGTACTCCAGCATGAACCAAACCTTCACACAGACTCAGCAGTTTTGCCATGGCCGAAACTGCTGCTGCCGTCTTCTTCAATAGCCAATAACATAGGAATCCGTCGATGCCATAAAGCAGAAACCCTGCTATCATGGTTCCAATTACAAACCGGATTCCAAAAAAGTTAGGTCACTAAACAAATTGTGAATAAAAACTGAATGCAATGATGTGGAGATGGCAAATGACAATATTTTATTTGTAATGTAACATAGATGACAGATCAAAAGTTTAATCTGAGTAAATGTAACATTTTAAAGGAAAAATATGTTGGTTCAAAATTTCACAGTGTCAACAAATCCCAAAAAAGTTGGGACAAGTAGCAATAAGTGGCTGGAAAAGGGAACTTGAGCATATAATGAACAGCTGGAAGACCAATTAACACTAATTAGGTCAATTGACAACATGATTGGGTATAAAAAGAGCTTCTCAGAGTGTCAGTGTCTCTCAGAAGCCAAGATGGTAAGAGGATCACCAATTCCACCATTGTTGCGCAGAAAGATAGTGCAGCAATACCAGAATGGTGTTACCCAGCATAAAATAGCAAAGACTTTTAAGTTATCATCATCATCAACCGTGCATAACATCATCAAAAAATTCAGAGAATCTGGAACAATCGCTGTGTGTAAGGGTCAAGGCCGTAAAACTCTACTGGATGCTCGTGATCTCCGGGCCCTTAAACGTCACTGCACCTCAAACAGGAATGCCACTGTCAAGGAAATAACAGAATGGGCTCAGGAATACTTCCAGAAAGCATTGTCAGTGAACACAATCCACCGTGCCATCCGCCGTTGCCAGCTGAAACTCTACAGTGCAAAGAGGAAGCCATTTCTAAGCAAGCTCCACAAGTTCAGACGTTTGCACTGGGCCAGGGGTCATTTAAAATGGAGTGTGGAAAAATGGAAGACTGTTCTGTGGTCAGATGAGTCACGATTTGAAGTTCTTTATGGAACACTGGGACGCCATGTCAACCGGACCAGAGAGGACAAGGATAGCCCAAGTTGTTATCAACGCTCCGTTCAGAAGCCTGCATCACTGATGGTATGGGGTTGCATGAGCGCTTGTGGCATGGGAAGCTTGCATGTCTGGAAAGGCACCATTAATGCAGAGAACTATGTTCAGGTTCTAGAACAACATATGCTCCCATCTAGACGTCATCTCTTTCAGGGAAGACCCTGTATTTTTCAACATGATAATGCCAGACCACATTCTGCAGCAATCACAACATCATGGCTACGTAGGAGAAGGATCCGGGTACTGAAATGGCCAGCCTGCAGTCCAGATCTTTCACCTATAGAGAACATTTGGCGCATCATAAAGAGGAAGGTGCGACAAAGAAGGCCCAAGACGATTGAACAGTTAGAGGCCTGTATTAGACATGAATGGGAGAGCATTCCTATTTCTAAACTTGAGAAACTGGTCTCCTCTGTCCCCAGACGTCTGTTGAGTGTTGTAAGAAGAAGGGGGGATGCCACACAGTGGTAAAAATGGACTTGTCCCAACTTTTTTGGGATTTGTTGACGCCATGAGATTTGGAAACAACAGATTTTTCCCTTAAAATTATACATTCTCTCAGTTTAAACTTTTGATCTGTGATTTGTGTTCTATTCTGAATAAAATATTAGATGTTGGCATCTCCACATCATTGCACTCAGTCTTTATTCACAATTTGTTTAGTGTCCCAACTTTTTTGGAATCCGGTTTGTATATAAACATCTTCAGCATCCTCCTGAGATAATACGGAAAGTCACATCAACTTCCAAACTCCCCACGGATCCATGACATATCCTGCTGTGTTCGTCGCAGCGGGTCATGAGGATTCTCCAGGACCCTGTCGCTTTGTTGAAAAGATTTTATCGATTGCGTTGACAGTCCAGCTGACCAGATTCCTGACAGTAGTTTTAGTTTCAGAAGATGTGTAAAATAGGAGCTCTGATACACAGACAGAGAGCAAAAAAAGACAGGAGGAAAACAGGAGAGTAGCAGGAGGAAAAAGTGGCCGCCTTGCACGAGAGCGAGTGAGGAATGATGGTAATACTTCAGCTTTTAGTATTTTTGTTTGTTTTTGTTTCCATCAGTGAACCTGGATTATCAGAAAGCCCCCCCAATGGAAAACGACCCTCATCTTCTCCAACAAAACCATCTGAGACTGGAGATGGTAACCACTGCAAACATTTTCCAGTCTGTGCATGTTTTAAATGTACTTGTACAACATTTATGAGTGAATCTTTCCTCTTACAGAGTATATTGCCATGTACACCTATGAGAGTACTGAACAGGGGGACCTGAGTTTCCAGCAAGGAGACATCGTCATGGTGACTAGGAAAGAGGGGGACTGGTGGACAGGTGTTGTTGGGGGGAAGACTGGAGTCTTTCCATCCAACTACGTTAAACCACGTGACTCATCATTAGAGGTGAGAGCTCGTTTTAAAGAAGGACAAGTTGGGTTTTAAAAATATTTTGTAACGTGTGTAACTTTTTGTCTGCAGTCACTGGGACCTGCAGGCAAAACAGGCAGTCTGGGGAAGAAACCAGGTTAGTACCACAACATTAATAATTTTTTTAATTATATAAATAGTTCAATTAATTACATCTTTGGTGGTGAAAATAAAGAATGAAGATGTAAATCTTTTGTGCCCTTCCATTTATCAGAGATTGCTCAGGTGATCGCTGCCTACACAGCCACAGGAGCAGAGCAGCTGACGTTAGCTCCAGGACAGCTCATTCTCATCAGGAAGAAGAACCCTGGAGGCTGGTGGGAGGGAGAGCTCCAGGTACATCATGTGATCCATGTTTCAGTCAGAAAACTTTTGACAACACACACACACAAAAAAGAAGTTTTTAAGGATGTACCACTCACAGACTTTATTAATGCACTATTTGTATTTGTTAGTGCTTTAAAACAAGCTGAAAGTTGCCTAACATGATTGTTAAATCTAAACATGGTGTTTGATGACATGCTATGATTCTCTGATTCAGGCTCGAGGGAAAAAGCGCCAGATTGGTTGGTTTCCAGCTAATTACGTAAAGCTGCTGAGTCCGAACACCAGCAAGACGACACCCACAGAACCCACCCCTCCAAAACTGACTCCTGCCAGCATAGGTACGCCACACCTTTACCAGGACACACTTTCATTTTGTTGTCCCCCATCGTGGAGCGAAGAGGGACAATGAGAGATTCTCTCCCCCCCCCGCCCGGTACATTTTGTGAGCATGAGAACTTACCAACAAATAAGGTGCAGACTTCCATGTTGGTGTCTGGCTGCATCTACTTGTAAGAAAATGACTGCCTCCATATGTGTGTGTATATGTGATCCAGCCACCTGAGGAAGTTTTTACATTGCTTAAAAGTAGTTTCCTCGAATGATTATGTGATGAAGGGGTGACCAAAGCTTAATCCCTGGGGGCCAGTGGCTCCTCCACTGCACTTGGTGGTGGATAAAATTGATCCTCCACTCAGTAAAACAATCTACCTCTGTTCTTCTCCAGTGTAACTCCTAACCACTTGAATATCTGGTACCAAAAACATAAAGGTTTACTTACATTGCCTGTTCAACTCCTAAACTACCAACATTCACTGTTTACATCCCTCAGTGACAGGAGACATCAGTGTATGCCTTGTTTATGTCTTGATCCATCAAAGTCCTGCTCCTGAAAGTTTAATTAGAAGATAGTTACCAAATATTCACTCTAGAAACAGGATTCTTACATCACTGATGCTACTGAAACTAATTCCTCCTTCAAACCTCAACTATAATGACTGTTTCCTTTTCTGGACAAGACATCCCCCTCTCCACCTCTGTTACAAATCTTGGAATAAAAATGGACTCTCATCTTACATTTGAAAATCACATTAAGAATCTGTTTAAAACCTGTTTTTTCCATCTTCGAAATATCTCCAAACTTCGTCCATCTCTCACTTTTGCTGATGCAGAGAAACTCGTCCATGCCTTTGTCTCCTCCAGGCTCGACTACTGCAACTCCCTGTTTACTGGAATACCTGGCAAAAACCTTCAGAAGCTTCAATATATTCAAAACAGTGCAGCCAGGATTTTATTGAGAGCTCATAAATTTGAACATATTACACCCATTCTCCATAACCTCCATTGGCTTCCTGTCACTTACAGAATTCAGTACAAAATTGCTCTCATTACCCATCAGTGTTTATACGGAAATTCACCAGATTATCTGAAGGACCTTCTTGCTCCATATTCATCCACCCGCTCCCTATGATCACAGAACAGTGTTCTCCTCCACCTTCCATGAACTAAATTAAGAACCATGGGAGATCGAGCATTCTGTGTGGCTGCCCCCCGCCTCTGGAACTCCCTCCCTGACTATCTGAGAGCTCCACAATCATTGACTGACTTTAAAAAAGGCTTAAAGACTTTTCTTTTTAAGCAAGCCTATTCTGCCTCCACATGATTGTATCATTGATTTTAGTTGATTTTATCATTGATTTGAGTTGATTTTATCATTGATTTTAGTTGATTTTATCACTGACTAGTTGATTTTATCATTGATTTTAGTTGATTTTATCTTTGATTTTAGTTGATTTTATCACAGATTTTAGTTGATTTTATCATTGATTTTAGTTGATTTTATCATTGATTTTAGTTGATTTTATCATTGACTTTAGTTGATTTTAACTTTGATTTTAGTTGATTTTAGTTGATTTTATCACTGACTTTAGTTGATTTATCTTTGATTTTAGTTGATTTATCACAGATTTTAGTTGATTTTATCATTGATTTTAGATGATTTTATCATTGATTTTAGTTTATTTTATCGCTGATTTTAGTTGATTTTATAATTGATTTTAGTTGATTTTATCAATGACTAGTTGATTTTATAATTGATTTTAGTTGATTTTATCACAGATTTTAGTTGATTTTATCATTGATTTTAGTTGCACTCTGTAGCACTTTGAGATTTTTGTTAATGAAAAGTGTGTTACAAATTAAATTCATTATTTTTATTATTATCAAATACAGTTTTGTCACAACAGCATTTTTCTTTTACCATTGCACTTTATTTTAAGCCATTAGGCCTTTCACTGTTATAGTAAACCCCTGTGTTTATGGGAGCTGCTGAAGATATTAATATGTATTACGGTTGTAACTGAACAACAATTTAAAGAAAATATGTGACACACCACATCAAACTGAGGATTAAGTCTTATGTTCCTGTTTTTAGTATTCTAGTATTTTACATCGCTTTACAATCTAGCTGTTTCTTGTTTAGTTTTTTAATGCCATTTTCTTTAATTTTTCTTTCATTTATTCTTCTCAATTAACATGCTTTCTTTATGATTGTCTACTGTTGTCATCATTCTTCGTTAAAATCAGGTCTCTTGTAAATGAGTCCCCGAGGCTCAATGAGACTAACCTGTATATATAAAGGTTGAACCTATGGGTTTGCATCCTATTTTCAGTATTCTGTAATGAGGATTTATTGACTTCTTTTGAAAGAGGAAACCTCAAACTGTACCGGTATTTTAATATCAGGATTTCCCAGCTGGAAAGGGAAAAGCTTTGCTTGTACGCAGGGAAAATATTCAAAATGTTTAGATTTTCTGCTTGTTCTGAGCCTGGTTCTGCTGGAGGTTTCTTCCTGTTAAAAGGGAGTTGTTCCTTTCCACTGTCTCCTTTGTGCTTGCTCAGGATGGGAGATTGTGACAAAGTGAAGATTCAACCCGATCTGCTGCTTCCTTAGATAGAAAACTTTACTAATTGGTTTTTCTATGTACTGTATGTGAATGTTTCTGTTCAATGCCATGAGACAACTTCTGTTGCGACTTGGAGCTATATAATCTGAACTGAATTGATCTCTCTCATCTCACCTGTTGACGCTTGTAACTCCTTCAGAGTGGGCACAGGAGTCTTGATGGCCTCACTAAGCAGCAGCAGAAGAGAACAAACACCATTTATTTTAAACTGAACCTTTTTTTGGACCGTCTTTTTTTTTTTTTTTTTTTTTTTGTGATGGCCTCCTTTCTCCCCTTACAGCCATCCTCTCCACACCATTATTATGAAATATTTATTATAGTGGCTATCTATTGTAGTTTTTTTTCTTTTGTTTTTTTTTTTTTTTTAATAGGATAGAAAGAAAGAAAAGACAAAGTAAAACTCCAAAATATAAGAAATATATACAAATAGAGCACCCGCCAAAACACCCGGCCACTGTCTGTTCACCTGCAAAGAACATGACAAAACACAGCAACAAAATACATATGTATAAAGAACTTAAAATATTCATGGCTTTGCAGTAAGTTTCCATAAATATATATACACATACCTACGCCTATATACATACATACATACATACACATGAATATACACTCACATACATATCTATATATCTACATATAAAGCCTACATAAGCATCCCTGCTTCTATTTGTGTGTGGTTGTGAGCATGCATAAGTGTATAAGGCTTCTCTAATAGAACATTTATTAGTAACTGTGAAGCAGCAGAGACCCGACCCCCAAGACCAGAGGCAGACGAAAAAGGGGGGACCAGAGCCCAAGACCCCAGGAGGGACCCCGACCGCGGAGCCCCCAGAGCCACCCACACAGGACGAACCACTCACCCACCCCCCAGAACGGACCACAGGGGAGAACCGGAAGATCCCCACCAGCAACCACATACAGTGACCCCCTGGGGCCAACAGCGACAAACTCATAGGCCTCCGTCGGCACCCGCCGCACCGATGTAGGTCCAGGTCCAGGCACCGAGGCCCGGGCACCGAGGACTCACACCACCCAGGCCAAGTCCTGACAGGGCCAGAGGACCCGAGCCCCACCAGGCAGACACCAGGCCGAGCCGACACACGCCCAAGCGCCCAGCCCC